GCCATGATTTTTCTGTTCTGTTAGGCTTTCCTGAATTTTATTTATGTCTTTCACATTTTTTTTTTAAGCAAGTCTTAAGAAACAGGCTTAGATCTCTGGTTGCAGCTGTAGTGCATAAACAACCCATTTGGTTTCAGAACTTTCAGATGGTTCTCGTCTAACTAACAGCCATACTGAAGGTCACTAAAAATCATACCTCTTCTATCTTATAAGGACAATACAAAAAACTTGGTGAACAAGTAGTTTATCTATTCCATTATATGGGGAAGATTTCTCCTTGGCTGAGACCTAGGCTATAGAGGGTTTCTTCTTCATCAGCTTTGCCCATATAGGTTAGAAACCAGTAAAAACCACTACCTTGCCAACCTTCTGTTCCAGCTCCAAGCCCCCAAAACTAAAACCCTCCTTACTATACTGATTAACTATTTGTTATAGGTTAGAAATCTGAGAGGGGGAATTTTTCTTCCTCCTGCCCCCACTGTAGGAGAGATGGAGTTTGAATGGAAAGGGGGTGCGATTAGCTTTACAAAAGAACCTAACTGGCCGGACCACATTCCTAACGGATGGCCCATCAGAGGCTGGGGGAAGCGGGGAGGAGTTTTGGGGGAGGGGTTGGCTGGCTCTTCTCAGAAGAGAGAGGGCAGTTTTGCTGGGGTTCTCTCTCTGAGATGGAGACGGAGGCCTTTGTGTGGGTATTTCTTGGAGAAAAGGCCTGGAAGCCGGTCTTTCTGGCTTCTTGTCCTGGTGAGGCCAGACCACCAATCTCGGTCAGCTCGCATGCTGCTTCATGACTCCAGCTGGGATCTACTGGGTTTTCATCGGAGAGCCGCGTGCTCACTGAGAGAAAAAGTGAGAGTCTTGAGACACCGTCATCTGAGGACAACAGTGAGTTCCATGGTGGGTGAACTGTTTTCCGGTCCCCCTTCTTCCATTGGGGGAAGGGTCCCCATTTTTTTCTTTTCGGCTTCTCCCACGACACAAGACCACCCCCCAGACCCCTCTCCCCGTGTGGTGACCACCCCCTGCCGCCCCTGCAGACCAACACAGAGAACTGCAGGCTCCAGTAGTCCAACAGCGCACCCTGAAGGCCAACACAGAGAACTGCAGGCTCTGCACCTCCAGCGATCCAACAGCGCCCCCTGCCAACCGTGATTAGAACTGCGCTAAAGACAGAGAAGTATTCAGACCTTTTCTTTTGTTTGAAGGGGACTTTTGGGTACAGGACTATTGTCTAGTTTTTTTTGTGTTCTGTTACTGTTCTTGCCAATATACATATATCTTTTAATAAAGGGTTGTTGTTCCTTCTTTTTTCCACACCTCTTCAATTAAAGACCCTTAATTTTGAATTTACAATTGCTGAGAGAGAAGAGTTTGGCCTGTCTCATAACTCATCCTCTTTAGCAAACATTCCAATCTCTTCAAACTGAGACACTATTACAAGAATGTGTGTGGCAAATAGCAAAGAATCATAGATTAGTTCAGGTTGGAAGGGACTTTAAGGATTTTCTACATCCAACACCTCTGCCATGGGCAGGGATGCTACCTGCTGGACCAGGTTACTCAGAGCCCTATTCAAACTGGCCTTGAACACTTCCAGGGATGGGACACACACAACTTCTCTGGGAAAACAGTTTTGGTGCCTCACAGTGCGTATCACATGCTTTGACATCTTTGGGCGTGGTTGGGAAGAGAGAAGAAGAAGACCACCTCATACTCTGAGGAGACCCAGGGAGAAACAACAGATTCTTTCTCTAATAATAGAGAGGACGCAGTTCCTACTTTCTTTATACTGGGTCCATCAGAGCCCTTTCACAGTGAGATTACAGTACTTCCATGTAATTCGTTATACAGTATTTAGCAAGTAATTTAGCAAGACTCAAAAGTGATTACACAAAAATACATGTGAAAAAGAGAGTCAGATACACCACTCATGGTAAGACAGGAAGTAAAAGAATGAGAGAACAGTACTGAGATGAAATGTGTAGTATCCAACTAAATTTTGGACAGAAATCAAACACAGATTGGTAGTTTTTCTTTATTTGCAATGTATTGTGACTGAAATTGTCTCTGATTAAGTTTTTACCTCTGAGTGCTAAAAAGTTTCTTGTTGCTTGACAGAATCAACTGAAAAACAGACTTGTGATCACAAACATTGTCACCTGACATCTGAATCATCCACATCAATCTCATTCCATTTTTTTTTTATTTGTGATTATAGAACTACAAATGATACTATCAAGAGCAGTATTTTAGATGAGTTTATCTATATCCAAACAAGTTATCATGGCTACTAAGTAGGATATGAAACCAAAAAACCCTAAACCCATAGTTCAGAAACTGTACCAAGGTATATTTGTGGAGTACAACATAGGTGTTTAACTTTATACAAATTAATTAAAACATTACTAATCTTATTTTCGAATAAGGTTATTTTCTTGTATTATATGTGCTTCAGTGAATAGAAACATTGTAGCAAGTTTCTATCTGAAATACAAGAGCCATTGCTTCTCCTGAATTTTCTCTCTATTCTTCCTCGCAGACTGCTAATGTCTGTTTAGATAAAATAAAGAATTCTAAAAATTTCATTAGGGGCACTTCCTCCCTTGTCTCCAAACAGTCTTTTGCTGAAACATGCAACACTTCTTGGTCCACAATGCATAGTTCCATAGGAAGAGAAAGCAGTATGGACAAAGGTCAGTGAGATGTAAAGTTTAGTAAGACCTAAATAACAAGGTTGGAGAGCTAGGCCAGTGGCTATCAATTCTTACTGTCTTTCAAAGGAAAGGTAAAGTGACCAACCAAGACGAGACCCCAACCTGCAAATTCAAGGATATACTTTAGATTTTTTCCTGAGTTTTGTGCTGTTTCTTTCTGTAGCAGTAAAATCAACAATAGCAACCAGTTAGATGAGCCCAGTATTGAATCACTAAACCAATGTATTTTTTTTAATATATGGTTTTATCTGTCTTTATTCAGTAAAAGCGTTTAAACCTATGTTTAAACTTCTTACAAAAGGCGGGTTGTGGAATTTCATCCTATGTATGTAATTAAGGGAGTTACATTGTAGTAACTAAAAATAAAATAGGGCACTCTACTTCTAGCCAGCTATGAGTTTATGTTGCGTGCATTTTAAAAGAGGTACATCCTCATTTATGTTTATTTCCAGTGAAGCAATATTCATCAATCAAATATGATGAATATTATCAGAATTTGAATTATTTCTAAAACCACAATGATTTTCTTTTAATGCTTCCACTGGAGCTGACTGTCTTGTCATCCTACAGGTTTCCACCTCAGTGGCTTATAGAATTTGACAGAAAGCCATGTTGTTCTGCATCTGGCATAATGTCCACTTGATTCCTCCTGATGAGTTTTAGCAGTTCTGTGTCCAAATTTATACCTAATTAATCAGTTTATGCTGGTGTTGAACTTCTGATTGTTTCTTTATGGATTTCTTTTGCTAAAGTCCCATAGCAATTTCAATTTTCCTTCAAGGACCACAGTTTTAGAAGTAAAACAGATTAAAAAAAAGTTTTCATTTCTGAGTCAGATTTATGTGTTGTACTTATTGTGTAGTTTATTTAAAAAGCTGTTGTCTAGACTCCAACTACTGCCAAGTCTTGCTTCTAGAATGTTAAGCTTTGTATGACGCTTACTCAGCATGTGATTCCATCATTTTGGTATTTTGCTGCCTCCTTGTCAAATATCAGCTTGCCTTAAAAGCACTTTAATGCCTTGAAGATAATGAACAATTTGGCAGCAAAAATATTTTCTGACTGATTTGAAACCCTTGCATAAACTACTTGGTGCCTGACTCATTGAAACCTATTATACTGGCTATTTTAAAATTAGGATTTATTTCTTTTTGAATTTCAAAATCTCTCCTTGGAAGAGCCATTTAAATGTGAACGTATATTTTCCTCTTTAACAGTAGCTCATAGGCTATAATGGCAGAATATTTTTGCATTTTTATATTTAGTTTTATTGTAAAGAGCTTTGGGATGCATTTGCATGAAAGGCGCTATATGAGCTCATTTTGTATTGCATTGTATTGTGTTGTGACAAGTGCAATAATCTCCAGGTTTCCTATCCATTAAAGAACTAATTTCACAGCTCACTAATTATGTGAATGAGAAGGGGAAATAGGTCCTTTTTCTCTAAGGTATGCTGAGCAGATGGCATAGAATTCATTTTCACCCACTGAATCTAAGGTCCTCTCTTGCTTTAAGGTTCTGAGGCTTGCCTCTGTTTATCAAATAGAACAGGAAAGAGATGCCAGTTTCTTGTACAGCATGACAGTGTGTACTGAGCAGCTGTCTCTGTCCTTTGCTAATACAACATCACTTAGCACATACGTCTAAACAGTCTATTTATTTAGGATGGAACATGAAAACTATTAAAATGAATGTGCATTTCAGTGTAATTCTAACCTTACCTCTGATGTATTGAAGATAGTGGTTAGTTTTGTCCTACGGATTTAAACTGATATACATTAAAACTTTATTAATGAATCGACGGAGTACCTTTGGGACTCTGTCTGTAGTTTCAAAATAAAAAAAAATTACTTCCTTAGCCTGTACACTTTCCTTCATAGCTAAGGTTTTGCCATCTTTCTAACTGTTTCTTTTTTTTCTGTAGCCTCACCAGTGAAAATAACTCACTTGAATAAAACGTGCATCCAGTGATTTGTATAGTGCTCTAATGCACTGCTTTTTTAAAGTAGCATAAGTCGTCAGACACTAGGGTACTCCTGTGATCCTGAAGAGTAGCTATTTTGGCCCTTGTTTCATCATTAAAAAGAGAAAAGCTGAGACTGAAGGTCCCAACACAACTCATGTACAACTTGACAATAAGGCTACATTTTACAGTGCTACACAAGAAATCAGATAATTTTCTCCCTTTAACACAGTGAGCAGTGCTAATTTGCTTTTCCTTCTCTCACTGCTGGCCTGTCTCGTGTTTGTTTTGTGTTCATGGTTCTGATGTCATTCTAATTTCAGACGGACGCAGCACTAATGTACGATGCAGTTCATGTGGTGTCAGTGGCTGTCCAGCAGTTCCCACAGATGACCGTCAGTTCACTACAGTGCAATCGCCACAAACCTTGGCGCTTTGGGACCCGCTTTATGAGCCTCATTAAGGAAGTAAGTCACTAATAAAGCATCCTGCTTCTCTGCATTCCTTTCTCCCAATTTCAGTTTTCTTTGTTTTCACTCTATTTGGATTCTGCCTTGTTTTTCATTTTTTTTTTCAGTAGAGGGGAATCTCTCATCTTGTTACACATAAACAGTTTAACAAGTGAGCCAGCATTTTTATTTGAAAATGGTTTTCCAGAAGTATTATCTGGAACAAAGAAACTTGAAAGGGTAGATTAACTGCAATATAAATAAAACTTTTGTTTGTAGATAACTGGGGTAGGTGCAGAACATTTGTGGCGTAAAACCCCCCAAAAATGAAACTGCAAACCACAGATTGATTATGAGAAATTCAGCAACTGGCATGAGCTCAAAAGGGTCAAGAATGAATTTTACTTTCTGTTTTAAATTTTTTTTCCCTTCCTTTTCTAGTATGAATTAGTATATGTGGCTTTGGTCTCTTAGTATGCTCTTTGGATACTGATAAATAATGATTTAAAGTAAAGCTAGGAGATTTAGGGTGCTAAAGATGAACACTGTAGAGTAGAGTATTCAAGCCTCTTGTACTGTAAATAACTTCTAATATGGTATTTCTCATTCTAGAGATGAAAAATATTGTGATAGTAGAATTATTTGCAAAGAAATATTTTATAATGGTTCCTTTTAAGATGATAATTTTTTTTTCCACATTGCTTTCTCTACTTTAGTATAGTTTTAGAACTAGATGGACTTTAAGTTATAAAAAAATGAGGATATTGTGCTTTATTAAAAGTAAGGAATGAGCTCTGGGAGGCTGGCTCACTGACCTCAATTTTTGCTGTCTCAGTGTGGTTTCAGGGGAATCAGCATCTTGCAAAAGTAAGCCTTTATTTGAATGAAATTTCTTGACAGAAAAATGAAGTCCAGCATTAATGAAACTGATTGAGGCTTGTGAGGGGGAGGCAATGTAGGGAAGCAGAGGGGAAATACATGCATGAATGATGGAGGAATGAAAACAAACCAGCCTTTTATCTCATTTAATAGAAAAGACTATTGCCTAGCATGGAAGGTGTTTTAAAATTTGCCTGTGAAGACTAAAGGAAAGGTTGACTTAATTAGCAAATAGTGAATACAAAATATTTAAAACAAGAAATCAGCCATAAGGTAAATTATTTACATAAAATGAATAATTAATTCTTCCATTTTGGCAAAGGTAAAATTTGTTCTTTTTCTGGAGAAAAAAAAAGGAAGAGGTATTTATTTATAGAAATTGTTTTTTCTTTCTCCATAGGCCCACTGGGAAGGCCTCACAGGCAGGATAACTTTCAACAAAACCAATGGCTTAAGGACAGATTTTGATTTAGATGTTATCAGCCTCAAGGAAGAAGGTCTTGAAAAGGTGTGTAAGACATTTACCTCCAAAGAGGTGGGAAAAAATACAAAAACCCACCCCCTAAAAACATTTACAATGACATTTCATGTGTTACATAAAACAGTATATCTATTCTCCACTTGATATCTGGTTTCAAAGTCTTCTAGTAGAAGCTGTTACCTTGTTGTCTGGAATTACCTCAAACTTAATGAAATAAAATAGCTTAATTTGGGCTATTTTATGTTTTCAGAGGGAACTTTAATTCTCTTCTTGGAATACAAAATTTTTATCTGGAAGTGGTACTAAAAAATTAAGAATTGGTAACCTGACTGGTTTGTCTGTCTTCTGATATTAATTTTTCTTGTACAGAGATGGAGTGAAAGACCAAAGAATTGAGAAGTACTCTTTCTGTGTAGACTAATATTTTCTATATTTGAACTAAAGGCATTGGGAGGCACATACAGATATTTGGCCTGCCTACATGATGATTTGAAGTCAGATCATCTTTCCTGCAGCCACCTTGCCCTGAAGAGGCAATGCAGGAAGCTACAAGGTCTCACATTGTTGTGATCAGCAGGCAAAAGTTTTGCAACTTGAATCTACCTTGTAGTTTGTACCTAGATGTGGTGTTCAGTGTTCTGTAAGCACTATGTCTTCCTTCATCTTCAGATAAAATTCTATCAGCTATTGCCCCAAGGTGATATTGTGGCAACAAATAAAAAACATATTTCTTCAAAACTTCTCCCCCCCACCCCCCCTGACTAGTTTTGGAATATTAGCTCCCGCTGACTAGGAAAATTTGTAAAAGTTCAGAAACCATGAGCTTATCTTGAAACACTTACATAGGTAAAATCCTTTGTGTTGTCCGGTGGGAAACCTCTGATTCAAGAACTATGCTATATTTTAAAATGTTCAGCAATACACTCATAGTAGATTCCTCCTATGAAGTTTTCCATGAAGGGAGCCCTGGAAATCTAAGGGGGGAAAAAAGTATGCTAATGATTAGGTTTAAAAAGTAAATTAGCTTTGTACACAAGTAGAATAGGTGCAATACAACCTGTCTGCCTTACTGGAAGTAGAAATGGAAGAATTGATGTCATGATAATAGCTAGATAAGTCAGTTGTAGCTGAAGAGTCTGCATATAAGCAATAACTGTTGAAAATGAAGAAAGGAAGTCTCTGTATTCTAGAATGGCTTTAGGAATATTAGGTGGTATTTGAGAACCACCACACAACATGAGATTTCTGGAAATCTTAGTCCTCTGAAAATATAGAGACAAACAAAAAAAAAAGCCTACAGAAATTAGAAATATGGAAGACAATAAAATTCAACAGGAAATACAGTACTCTAAAGCATATAAGAGAAAAAAGGAACTTGGGAAACAGTTATATTGAAAGATAAGTAAGAGACAAATAGAAATAGTTGTTAAAGCATATGGATGTTTAAAAACAACAAGCATGTGCTTCAGCCGTTTATACAGAAGTTCATAGAATAGGAAAATACTTTTTCTGTCCTCATAGCTCATTTTGATCATTTCATAAACAGATGTGGTAATATTAATTTTTCACTAAAAGCTGCAGACAGTCTTTGAAAAGAGCAGTAAGAATCAGTACCTGTATTTGAGCAAAATCAGAGCAGTTCCTGTAGGGTGTAATGATATGAGATTAGGAAAAGGAAAATTAAGGTGTATACACCTTCAATTGAATTGCTTAGAAAACATATGGAACCTGTGGCATATTTGACTGAAATAGATGAATCAATGCCAATGAATGAATGTTTGTCTTTGAACAAAATTTTATTATTCTGAAAGAATACAAACCTTCTTCTTCTTCAATCCAGGGTGAATTATTAAATTCTGGAACAGGAAGCTTACTAGTAGAGAGAGTACATTTTCGCCACCTCTTTTATTTAAAAGAGCTGTCTCAAAGTTGGGGGGGGTGGTTTGCCCAAGACTGAATTCTGTTAAAGCTATGATGAATCACTCTTCCTTCTCTCAGCCCCTACCTCCCTCCACACGTGCAATTCATCTCTCTACATCACAACCTTTCTCTCCTGCTTTCTGCTACTCTCTCCTCCTCTCCCTTCTTCCTTCCTCTACCATTCCTTCCTCTCTTCTGTCACACCCTCCCTACCTGTTTCCCTTTCCATATAATCCCTGTCCCCTTGTACCTCTTATCTCTTTCCACCCCCTTTCTCTCTCTTTAATTCTTCCTTCAGGAGCGTTTCCACATCTTTGTCTTTATCTTGTATGTTCCCAATGTTCTTTCCTTACCACAGTCTTCTCAGGCCTCTCTCTCTGTGTTATTAGAGTTCCTCTTTCCTTCTGTCCATCCTTCCTCTTATAGGATGAGAGAAGATGGGGAGATAAGAATTATATGTGTCATAATGTATGTCATGTTTCCATATTGTAATTTATGCAGTTATTATTTCATTTAACCTCTTTCTCAACATGGGGGAACGATCCCTTCTGTGAGGACAACAGCTCAACTGAACAATTTTAGGTGTAATCCATGAGGGCAAAAGTATTCATGGAAGGGAGAGAAAAGAGTTATGAAGAATTGCTAGAAGACCTAATTTTTTTTAACTTTGGTTTTGTTAAAATACATGCTACATAAATTGCCTGCTTAGTATAATGGGGAATGACCTAAATCATGTGTTTTAAATGCAATGACTGCTGAAGACAGTGACAACAGAAAAACTGCTCATTGATTCAAAAAAGATGTCATGCGTGATCCCAGATTTTACATAAGATACTTGTTCCTGAAACTCCTGAATGAGAGGTGATAATTGAGCATCAGTCAATAAGAAGTATGTGTTTACAAATAAAAATTCATGTCTGACAAAAATGATAGCTTCTTGTAAAATGGAAATGACAAAATTAAGAGATGATTGGAATGCTGCTAATGTAATGTACCACGGAATTTGATTACAGTCACTCTGGACACACTGAAACTATTTATGATTAACATAGTGAAAATCTAAAACTGTGGCACTCCAGGATAATAAATTATAATTTAAATTGCAGTCAATCAGTCTGAGGCTGCATTGTGAGGAAAATTATTTTATACTTCAAGGAGATAACAAATACCTGAATTTAGTACCACTTTTGATATGAAAATTTGTCACTGAAGAAGAATTACATTTCCTGAATAGAAATGTACAACTGGCTTGAAGCCTTGCTCAGGAACCTTCAAATAGGATGAAAACTAATTGTAATTTGTTAAGAGTATCAGTGTAAGACCTTGTTTTATTTTGTATCTTTAATAATGACCTGGATCTATGGGATCCAGAAGTATTGCTATTAACATTATATTTGGCAAAGAAGACAGGAATATAAATATTTCTGAAGAAAGTAAAATAAATTAAGCAATTTGCAATTGAAAAAAATGTTGATAACACAGGAATGTTTCTGCTTCTTCTAAGCAATGTTTACACAGAGTCAAGGCCTTCTTGGCCTGCATAGCTACAAAGTGGTCCTGTGTGGGGATGTCCAACCGGGTGGGAATGTCTGGTTTTGAAGGATTGCAGTAACTTGATAGTTACCCAATAGTTAAATATATGGAAGATTGGATACAAGTTTTTAACCATTAACATGCAGTTAAGAAATTGTATTCCCTGTCCTTGAGGACCACCACAATTACCATGTTACAGAATAATCTCTGATATTCAATGATAAGTGTAGCTCTTGGAATTGTTTTAACTTAAATGAGATGATTCTTGATTAAGCTAATTCTTTGTATCATAGAGATGCTTCATCTCACTGTGGAGCACAATGTTAACTTCATGGGAACACATGTTTTGGATCCTGTGCTATCGATATTAAGTGTTAAAAATTTCAGATTGACATGGTCATGCCAGAATAGGCTAGCTGTTCAAGGGAATTGAAAAGAAGAATAGGAGACTGAGGGCTTGACAGCCTCTCTGGAGCTGTATTTACCCTGTGAACATTCTCTTTAACGTGTGTATACGAATACCTGTTTCACTTTCTAGGAAAATTTTATAGAATCATAGAATCAACTGGGTTGGAAAAGACCTCTGAGATCATCAAGTCCAACCCATGACCTGACACCACCCTGTCAACTAGACCATGGCACTAAATGCCACATCCAGTCTCATCTTAAATACCTCCAGGGCCGGTGACTGCACCACCTCCCTGGACAGCCCATTCCAATGTCTGATTATTCTCTCTGAAAAAAATTTCTTTCTAATATCCAACCTAAACCTCCCCTGACACAGTTTAAAACCTTGCCCTCTTGTCCTACTGCTGGTTGCCTCGGAGAAGAGACCAATGCCCACCTGGCTGCAACTTCCTTTCAGGTCATTGTAGAAAGTGATGAGGTCTCCCCTGAGCCTCCTCCAGGCTAAGCCACCCCAGCTCCCTCAGCCACTCCTCACACGACTTGTGCTCAAGCCCCTCCACCAGCCTCGTTGCTCTTCTCTGGACTTTCTCCAGCACCTCAACATCCTTCCTGAACTGAGGGGCCCAGAACTGGACACAGGACTCAAGGTGTGGCCTCACCAGTGCTGAGTACAGAGGAAGAATCACTTCCCTGGTCCTGCTGGCCACACTGTTCCTGATCCAGGCCAGGATACCGTTGGCCTTCTTGGCCACCTGAGCAGACTGATGGCTTATGTTCAGCTTCCTGTCAATCCAAACTCCCAGGTCCCTTTCTGCCTACATGGGGTTGCTGTGACCAAAGTGCAGGACCTGTCACTTGGCCTTGTTGAACTTCATCCTGTTGGAATCAGACCATCTCTCCAGCTTGTCCAGGTCCCTCTGAAGAGCCCTCCTGCCTTCCAGCTGATTGACATTCCCCCCCAACATGGTGTCATCTGCAAATTTGCTAATGATGGACTCAATCCCCTCATCCAGATCATCAATGAAGATACTAAACAGAACTGGGCCCAACACTGATCTCTGGGGGACACCACTAGTGACTGGCTGCCAACTGGATGCAGCCCCGTTCACCACCACTCTCTGGGCCTGGCCATCCAGCCAATTCTTAACCTAGCACAGAGTGCCCCTGTCCAAGTTGTGGGCTGCCAGCTTTTTCAGGAGTGTGCTATGGGAGATGGTGTCAAAGGCTTTGCTGAAGTCCAGGTAGACACATCCACAGCCTTCTCCTCATCCACCAGGCGGGTCACCTGATTGTGAAAGGCAATCAAGTTGGTCAGGCAGGACCTGCCCTTCCTAAACCCATGCTGGCTGGGTCTGATCCCTTGTCTGTCCTGTAGCTGTTGTGTGATTGCACTTAGGATGATCTGCTCCATAACCTTGCCAGGCACTGAGGTCAGGCTGAGAGGTCTGTAGTTTTCCAGTCGTCCTTGCAGCCCTTTTTGGTACCCATGCTGCATGCATTGTTGTACTTACACTTCTACTGGACTACTGATTTCACTTCTAACTTTGTCTTTTCACCCTAAGGTTCATATCTGGAGAGCCTGGTTTCAAACCTAGTTTAAAGCCCTCCTGATAAACCCTGACAACTTATGGGCTATAGTCCTTTTGCCCTTGCTAGATAGACAAAGCCCATCTGATTTGAGGAGACTAGGTACCATAGAATTAGCCACATGGTCAAAAAAACCCAAAAGTCTGCTAGTGGCAATAATCCTTTAGCCACCTATTGATGAGTTTTCCTACTCCTCATTCATCCCTGCCACTGCAAGAACTGAGGTGAACACCACCTGTGCTCCTGTCCCATTAACTAATCCATCCAGACCCTTGAAGTCCTTTTTAATTAGCCTGATACCTCTTTCATTAATGTCATCACTGCCAGCCTGGACCACCAGCAGTGGATAATAATCAGAGGGCCGGATTAGCTCAGGGAATCTCCTACTAATATCCCTCACCTGAGCCCCAGAAGGCAGTAGACTTCCCTGTGGGATGGGTCTGGTTGGCATATAGGGCCCTCAGTTCCCCTCAGAAGGGGGGACTACTCCAACTACGCTTCTTTTTTTCTTTATAGCTGTGTTTGTGATCTGTCTGATAGACAGGGTGCAGCGGGGAGACCCTCCAGACAGATCCTCTTCTTGAGTGCCCTCTGCCTGACTCTCTGTGTCCAGGGCCTCATACCTGTTCTTTAAGGGAACCATGGGAGGTGATAGGGGTCAGGAAAGGATTCTTCTACCTCTTTGATCAGGGACCTGTTTCCATTCCTCCCCATCTACTTGGTTTGCTCCATCTTCCTGATGGCAAGGAGAGGCAGGGCTTCACCCTCTGCTGCTGGACTTCTTTTGGGGTTGAAAGAGTATGACTGCAGCAGTCTATTTCCCTTTCACTCTTCCTAATACTTCTTAGCCTCTCCTCTTCTTCCTTGAGCTCTGCCACCAGGCACAGCAGATCGTTCACCTGCTCGCATTGTATGCAGGCGTCTCTCACACTGTCCTCTGGTACTAATGCCAGGCTCAGATAGTCTGTGCAGCCAGTGACCTGAACAGCTGTGTCCTTCTTGGGGAGTTCTGTCTCTGAAACAAACTTTGAAAGTTTATTTAAAATGAATGTAATGCACTAAAGTAACTTGTTTGAATTGCAGTTATATGTAATATAACTACATTTTTGGTATTTAAAATTTTCTAGTGAAAACACATAAACAACTCTAATCTGTTCAGAAGACTACTTAAAAATTAAAATATTGTGTTGAAAAATAGAAATTAATTAATTTGTTGCACTATTCATGCACAGTTTTTTTATAAGAAGCAGCTTTGAAAATGTGTGTGTGATTTGGGAACTATACATATCAGTGACATCAGAATCTGTGGTGTAAATTGTTGAGTTTGAGCTCATCAATAAAGATAAACCAAAAAATGCCTAATTTTGAACATCTGATTTTGTTCCATTTCTTAGATTTTTGATTCACAAAAGCAACAATAAAAATACGGTTAATCTAATTCAGAAAAATAATTCATCAATTTATCAAGACAGAAGTTTGTTTTTAAAGTTATACTGTTGATAGTTCTTATAAATCTGCATGGATGTAGTTAGATAAAATCCAAATTCTAACAGTTGATATTCTTTTGTTTATGGCTGTGGCTATGTTAAAAAGTAGGAGAGGAATTATTTTAGTTAGCAGTTTTAGCCTTTGTCAAGTTAAATTTGAATGTGAATACGAGCTTGAATAAAGCACATGATTTAATGAATTTTGGATTTGAAATTGATCATATAAGTTGATGATGTTTCCCAGGAAACTTTTGTGCTACTCGTGTACCTGAAGTTATATCTCATAGAGGACATTAGTCCAGCTTCGATTATGTAGGGACAGGTTCAAGTTCCAGTCTTTGTCATTTCTTGTTATTCTACTCTAGTTTGGACATTGTTCAATAAAGCTGAACATTTTGGGTTTCCTAAAAAACCTTTTAATTCACCAATTAAAATGATATTAAAACAGTTAATGAAGGAGAGTTTTTTTGGTACTAAGGCTCGATTTCAATACTTTAAAATGGTGAGTTAGATGTTATTTTTTCCAATTGTATTTCTGAGACACAAATTGCATTATCTTTTTTCATCAATATATGAGATACTGAATGGCCAAGTTCAAAGATCGACCTCTTGGAACTGAGTGTTAAGCAAAGAAGAAAGATAAAATATTGATTTCCATAGAACAGAAAATTGTAAAAAAAGAGAGCAAATTTATCTTTTCTCTATTACAGCATCTGCTGATTCAGGGTCAGTCTCAGTACTAGAAATAGAACTCTTTTCATTTAACCCTCACAACATTACGTTCTAAATTTACTTTACAGTCCTACGGCAACAAATCACTTTAAAGTATACGAACAGTTTCTCAGGAGTCACTTTGAAAGATTATAAAAAAATTGTGTGTTTTTATATATACATCTATACATACATATATATTCACAATCAAACATCACATAAAATTTATTTTTTGTCAAGATTTAGTTTTTATTATGGGTATTGTGTAGTATTTGAAGTGAAGTTTAAAATCCTATCTAAAAACAAAACAAAAACCATTTGTATGGCTTTTTAGACAATGGAGTAATACATTCTGATTTCTAAAATGGGTAGTTATATTTACTGCTTGACCATTTTAATTGTGTAGTGATGAAATTGCAGATAAATTATGTAATCATTACTTATTACTTAGTATGTGAGTCTGTCTCTGACCTGAATCTTAAAGCATAACCCTGGATATTCTTACTTAGATAAAAATCCTATTGACTCTATTTCAATGTATAAAATGTCAAAATACTTATATACTGAAGATTTATCTGTAAGTAAATTAAATTATTGCTCTAACCTTCATCATTATATTTTCCAAAACCCATGTTTTTGTCCTGCTGTTCTCTCTGATCAAGAAAAAGAGTAAATTCCTTTGTAGAGACAATGCTTTCTGCACTGCAAATGAATTTCTACCTGTTAAGCTATTTTCAGATGTGATTTATCTTGAGGAATGAAAATTAAATGGAAAATTAAGTGTTCAGAGTAGCTTTAGATATTCTATATGTCATTCTTACACTTAATGTCACACTTCACGAAACATAATTTGAGGTATTGGTAATCATATTTTAAATAAGCAGACTTTAAATTCAGTGACAGAGAAAAATGGAGTAGAGTTTAATAATAAATATTAGCAATCATTTCTTTCCCTGTAGCAATTTGTTTTTCCTTACAGTGTTCTTTTCTAGATGCTGATATGTAACTAATTGGCAATTTACACAGTAATTTACTGATTTACAGGTTGGAACTTGGGATCCATTGAGTGGCCTTAACATGACAGAGAATCAGAAAGGAAAACCAGCAAACATCACAGATTCCCTGTCCAATCGCTCTTTAATTGTTACTACCATCTTGGTAAGCAATTATATTTGCTTTTCCAGAAATACAATTGTGAAGAAAAGCTAATAGAATATGATATACTAATTGCAATAGTAATGAACAGTCTGTAGTATGAATTACTGTAGTATGAGTCTGTAATATGAGTTACTGTGTCATGAATGACCTCCAGTTAATCTATTCATGGATATTTACTCTCATCTAAGTTGCAAGCAAGTTATACCAATTTTAGAGTTACATTAGTTGATTAGTGATTTCACTTTTCTTATTATTGACTAAAATGTGTAGTTCTTTACAAATCTATTTAGTTCAGCAGCATATGAGAAGACAAAAGGTATTTGTTTAAAAGTGTGTTTTGTCTGTTAGCTTAACAATACTACCCAGCTTTTTATTTATTGCTTTTGTTTACTGTTCTAACACTATGATATTCTCAAAAGAAAGTACAAAATATTTAACATTTATTTAACGTTGTTATTGCTTGATTATTGAGTTGAAATTTTTAATCATCCAGAAATTTAGTTGAGCTATCATTTGAACTAGACCAGAAGAAACATTTTAAGTAATTTCTTTTTCATTTCCATTGTTAGCAAATTCACAGTAGTGAATGAAGTATCTTTTACTTATAATTACATATATTTTTTATGTAAAAATGTATTTATTAATTTCCACACAATAATTTTGAAATAGTAATTTTAATTTCAATACAAATGAAAAACTCTCCAGAATTGTGTCTGCTTTTTTTGTCTGCTGCCACCATTATCGTGAATTTGCAGATATAAAAAAAAAAAAAATCCCTTCCCAACAGTTGCATACTTTGTTAAGAAGGTTTTACTTACCAACATATATTTTGACGTTTCAATCTAGAATGAATTTTTTATAGGTACATAGATACAAATGTCAGTGGTTTTTAACTTTTTATGTAAGATAAGTTGATAATTTCATCCAGTGGGTAACTTTTTCATTGCTTATAAGGTGTCTTTACAAATTATAGAAATAATAGAAAATCTTCTGAAATACTTTGTTCCATTTATTCCACTAATTGAAAAATATATAAATTGGAATACAACTATCTCGCTTTCAAACATAAGTTCTTGTTATGCTACAGCCAGTGCAATTTTACTACAATTTTCTCTTACACTATTAATTACACATACTGCTGTTACATTGTATCCACATAACCTGCCCAGGACTTTTCTTGGTGCTGTTCACTGATATATAAGTACTTCACATTTATCCTAACTGCTCCTAGAATTACTGTTTTACAGAATATTGTCCTATCTCTGCCAGTGACCTGTTCCCTTCATTATTCAGTAATCAACCAGCCTTTGTACCTTCTACACACTTCAATAGCAATCACCGTACACTTGATTCCAGATCAGTGATAGCAACACTGGGACAAGGATCAATCCCTGCAAGATTACATAAGAAACACTCAAAAACTTAGGGTGTTTCAAGTTTGTTTTTGTTTTAATATCTATCTATTGAAGAGGTTTGAGTTAATACACTCTATGTATCATATTGCTTTTGTATGGTGATACCTGAGCTTGCATGATTTTGTTTGAAATAGCTAGCTCAGGAGAAGGTAAACTGCACAAATGTAAAGAGCAGTCCTTCCAGTGAACACTGAGTTTGGCCTGGTAAAGCTCATAAAAGTAGATTGCTGAGATTTAAGAGAGTAGCTACTTTTGGTTAGTAGTCTTTTTTAAGTATCTGTCCTCTTCACATGTATCTAAATAATAGAATAAATAAAAGAAATATGAGGGCTTTAAATTGTTGTTATGAGTTGCTCATTTGTAGCTGCCTTTAAAACTGCAGTAATTGTTCAGTAAAAGTTTTCGTAATTGCAACAACTCTTTTCAACTATGAAGACTGGTACTCAGAATAGGTGCTACATATTGTAAGAGCTGTACTCAAAATAGTAAGAGGGACCAAAAACATTTCTGGTGCAGAAAGCATATGTACTAGCTTAATTTTGTAGCTCTACTTTTTTTGTGCTTAACAAATACTTTTCTTTAGGACAGAAAGCATGTTACTGAATATTCATTTTGTAGCAATGCAAGGGAACAATAAAATGCTAAAGCTCCTAGAAACATGTTTTCTTCATCATCGCTTTCCTTTACTGTTCTTTTTTAACCTGGAAAATATTGCTTAACCACCCCTCCAAAAAAAACAAACAAAACAACAAAAAAAGGCAATTCTCTCCTTTAAGCTGCTCATGTGATATTTCTATGCCGGTTTCTTTCACTTTAAGAATTCCCCACAATAGTCTATAGTATACTGGCAGCTGTGGAGCCTTAATTATTTTTCTCTGTAGTTTGTTTTAATGCTCATTTTTCATTTAAAGATTCCAGTCTTTCTTTTATTTTTAATTTTGTTTCTGAAATTTGGAACCATATTTTTTTCCTTCTATATACTGTAGTCATTAAGATCTTTACAGCTGCGAGTAAGCATGCTCTGCATTTTCAGTGATGGTTGAGACTACTGGACATGAAAATCTATTGATGGGCAAAATAATAAAAAATAAACTGTGATTCATAAATTCATCTACTCCAAGTAGGGACAGAACTATGTGCTCTTTTTTTTCCCTTGAATTCTGCATAATGAATTTTATAGGTAATTATATGAAAGATTAGTCCTTGGTTTATGAGCAATTCAGTGGCTCTGTTCTGAAAAGGGGTAGGGGGTCTCAGAACTTCATAATTTCTCAGAAGTCTACTTACATGCAGTTTTTGTGCAGAAACATGTCTGTTTTCTGAGTTCTGGTCCCCTAACATCCCCAAGTAATGATTGAACATGTCTGATAGATGGATAGTCAATTTTTTAGGAGGGAGAACAATTAAAAAATAATAATAGATATGCTATTTATATACCTTGTAACTGTAGCTTTGTATATAACAATCTTTTTCATACTATTACTTTATTTTATTTTAAAGCCATCTTCATTGAAAATTTAGAATTTCTTTTGCAATTTCTTTAAAAGTCTCCATTCTGAATATTCTATGTTTTAAAAAGTAAAACAAAACAAAAAAACAACAGAAAATAAGTTTTCAACTTCATTAATAATGATTTATTATAATTTGATTCTCCTAAATTGACTTTGTTATGCAAGCTATCGGAACTCTGATTTTTTTTTTTTTTTAGATTTTTGTTGTAATTATCTAAATATTTTTGTTCTTGTACATATTCTACCTTTGTTTTGAAAGATTTTTAATTTTGGAATTAAATTTTCATGTTCATAATGGTCTGTGCACGATATTTGGTGTTTTCATGCTAAATTTCTTACCAGCCTGTACATATTATCATACAGGTTCATTTTTCCTGTTTGGCTGAAATAAATGCTTCTTCCCTTTTCAATATCTTTTATGTGCTTTTCTGTATCTGCTTGCATCAATGCTCTGAAAAGCTCACAGTTGTCAAGTTTATTTTTTCAAGAAATATTGAAAATTACAAAAGGTATGTGGTGTTCTCAAATTTAGTAGTTTTTTGTTATTTCACATTTGAAAAGTTAAATTACTTTTCTTATTGTACTTCCCTGAAAAAATTGCTTTGAATGAGGAATAAATTAGAAGGAATAATTATAATAAATTTTAAAACAATTTTTTTTAGTCAAATAATATATATATATTCCCACACTTTATTTCATTTATTATTTGCTTCAAATGGGTAGTGCCTAATTTCTCTCCCTTTTTCTTTTTTTTAATGTTTAAAGCATGAGTTTTCAATAGCCAAATTTTAAATTAATATATATTAAAAAAATGTTAACATTAAAAGAATAAATTTACATTTTGTCTTTATAAGAAAGGGTCACATCCTTTGTACACAGAATTGAAGATTTAGAATTTTTTTGTTTTCATTTTTATGGTATATTTTGAAGAAAAATACCTGATGCAGGCATTTCCTCATAATTACCATTGCATCATTTTGGGATGATTCAAGAAATACCTAAATTTTGATATATTGATAATTCAGTAATATTTGATTCCTGTTGTTGCTATAACCCTGAACAATTATTTCTCTCTCATAAATCTATTTGAATTTTGTGTACTGTCACAAAATAGATGAATCTGTTTTTAGCTTGCAAAAAACTGTAAATGTGATATTTTTCTATTTTTAGTCAATCACACATGATAGTTGGGGTTTTTTTTAGAAACTAAAGGAATATACAATTCCTTACTTTCCGATTTTGGTATTTTTCTTATTGCCTTTTTATATCTTTTTTTGTCATGATTAGTCAGTACCTAAATGCCACTCCCAGACTTCTCATACCCATTTCAACATCTAGACCCTGCCTGCTCTTCTTCCTGAACTAGTTTTCACTCCTGCCTGTATTCCACTTCTCTGTCTTCAGTCACCAGTGCACACTGTAAACTGACTGATTTCTTGAAGATGTAGCAGACATTTAAAACAAACTAATGTGTTTCAGGAATTTTTCCACCAAAAAAGGTAAATTTGCCTGCTTCATGAATTATGTTGCTCATAAGTTGAAAATCTCTCTTATCCTGAGATCCAGCAAAATGTCTGTGTACGTCAGACTTGAAAGGTACTCATAGAGAAGCTTAGCCATAGTACTTTTTTTTATTTCAAACATATGCAATGCTTATCAGAAAAAGCTATGAGGTTTGAAGGGAGTCGTAGTATATGAATGTGTAGAGTGGAATCAGCACAAGTTAAAGTTTCACTTGATAAAAAAAGGTCAATAAATCTATTTTTCTCCTGACTGGATGCAACCAGAATGTTGGATGGTCATTGATTTATATCTCTGAATAATGACTGGGAATTACTTTCTTCGGATTCCAAGTTTACGTCATCCTGCCAAACACTTTCTCTTAATTCCCTAGTGCTTCAATTCCCTTTTATTACTAAAATGTTAGTAATAGTGGTAAGCATCAGTTTATAACTCCACTTCAGGATTTGTACTTATGAATACTAAGGGCCACCAGTCTAGGAAAATACTTTCTGTATTTTTTGGCTCTCTTAGGCTTGGATTTTTTGTTTGTTTTTCCCTACGGTATTTTGAAAATTTAAGACACCTCGTAAGAAAAGAATGTTTTGCTTTCTATTATGGTAAGACCTAATAATGTCTTTGATATTTTTCATGTATCATGAAAATATGATTTAGTTCAGCTGAAAAATAGGTTAGTACAGTCTGAAGTGTTGCAACATTTTAATGCTTACACATTTTGTGATTTATTGAGTCAAGAGTTTTTGCTTGAAATAAGCATCAACTTATATCTGTTTAATGGGTTGGGCACTTAGTACACGTTCTTGGGATGCAGATGAAGTAGGAAACTGCTTTGTAAATAAAAGGTCTGAAAAAAAATGTTTTGGACAGTAGAAGACTATACAGAAAAGCAGCAGATGCCAATAGGAAATGACTTAATGTAGGACTGGAAAAGTATTAAGAGAGTATTAATAACTTATTGATCAGACTTCTTAACAAAAACTTTTTATGCATAACAAAACATTATAATTATTAAATAGCAACACAGATACTATTGTAGCCCTTATCCAAACTGGTCAGAGTAAAGAATAATAAAAGAGCATGGAGTTAGAACTAAGAATTCCAGAAACGGTTGCAAGATTTTCTTTAACAAAGTATAAAAAAGCATTAACATAAAAGATAAAATGTCTGAAGATTACTGAAATGATTTTATAGAAAAATATGCAAGAATGTATCAATGAGCTGGAATGCTCAGTGAAGAAGATCCCGCTGGGCTTATTAAGTAAAAGAGGCTCAAAAGCATGAATTGACAATTACATTTCCTCCCTGATATCTCATATATTTAAATTCTGTCCCATATAATTCAGATTTGCTTGTAATGGAAGGTAGAAACAAAAATGTTTTCAAGAATCTTGTCAAGATTCCATAGATCGAGGGATGTGTAGACTGTAAATATCTGAGTGACTCTAAGAGCAAAGGTCTACAATCTGTGTACGTGAGCATTCCAAGCTACACTGGAATTTCATCATGCCTACAAAACAGGCCTTGAAGCTGTGTAAGCACTGCTCAGCAGTAATGAAAATATCTCTGTGTTTTAACACTGTTTTGAGCACAAATCCAAAACAGACTAGTTAATGTGAAGAAAATATGTTTTGTCTTAGCATACCTTCTGCTTGGCCAGTAGCATGCTTTTTTAAGGAATTCTCATTTCACCTGTGGAAACTGCTTTCCTTACAGTTGCTTTCTTTGAGATATTTCATATCAATTGTCTGAGTTTATTAACAACTATTTTCATACATTGTTTTTGCTCTGACACCATCTCTGCTTCTGAAGAATTATTCAATGATCCTTGTCATTTAAATGACTTTCAACTTTAATGTTTTCTGTTAGGTCTTTGTTCTTGTCAGTACTACATCTAGAAAAGCTATTCTGGAGTTTTTTTGCTTATCTGTTGTTTGAAAAATTTCTGTCAAATCATCCTAGTAGTTTCTCCAGACAATTAATTTTATGTTCCTTGTTAATTGTATGAAGATCAGTGATGTACTTTTTATAAATATGACTGTAATCCTATCAATAGAAATATATAAAATCAGACTCAGCAGAGTCTGAATTCAGTGTTTTATTTTATTTAAAAAAAAAGTGTAAGAGGCAACAAGGGAGCAAATGTCTTCTGAATACACTTCCTTTAAGAACAAGATTTCTCCCTGCATTTTCCTTTGCATTTTTTGGGCACAATCTTCTATACTCAAGTTTCAGTTTTATGTAGAGTTAATGTTCAAATCATGGGAAACCTCAAGACAGAGGTTTATATCAGAAATGTTAACAAATCATTATTAAAGATGCCAGATGCCCATGCAATGAGATGCCTTTAATGCCACTGAGTGCTGATGTAGAGATTTAGGACTAAGAGTTTTCCTAAGTTGTCCAGGAGAGTTTTTTTCTGGTTATTAACTGAGACTTGTATTTGATAGAGTGCTTGGATCTACTACCATTTGTACTACCTTACTTGGTTCTTATTTTTTTTCATTGTAAAAAATGAAAAAAGTCTATCCCAAAGGTGAGAAAAGACCGAGTTGCATATTTAACCTATCAAATACAACTTCAATATTCATGTCATATTGTAACAGAAAACTACCATTTGTTTTTTGTATTTTTCCCTTCACCTTTGTATTTGAGAAAGGCCATCCTACACTGAGAAACAGATGTAGAAATCTTATGTTTTGCTAAATGTTAATTTTCTTCCCATAATTATGATTGTTCTGTCATTCATTTTAATTTGTTTGCTTTCTCTTTGCCCACTTAATGCAAAAAAAGTCATATTGTACTTTAATTTAAACATAAGAAGAGAAATATTTGAAGAAATTAAATTCCGTTTTCATGGAATGTGTATAATAAAATTTACTTTTTGAGTTAATTTTTTGGGTTTTGCTGCAGTCTTGTAAATGGCAACTCATAACTTGAGACAGTAGTGCAATAGGTGCTTTCATTAAATTTTTCCTCCCCCTGTGGGCTTTTGATATTTTACTTAACAAAACAATGAAAAAAACAGTTAAAATACTTGTATAAAGTATAAAATCTAATACTTAAAATATTTGATTGATATTTGGAGTTTTAATTTTTTTTTTCATTTACCAAAGTACATTGTTTCTGCATTTTAACAGTCTACATTGTCCATTCAAACAGTACATTTGACATTAATGTATGATGCAATTTCTTAAGGATCACATTTAAATTTTGTTCTTATATGAACTTGAAGGTATGTCTACAGTGTTTAGAGTGTAATTTTTTCAAATAAATATGGGAAAGAGAATCTTCTGACTAAATTCACTTTGAAGATACATGGAGACTTTATACAGACATAATCAAATCTAAAGGATTGTACTTTTCTTATTAGTTCTTTGTACAGGGAGTGGTATCATAACTGTATACGCATCTGTGCACATGGCTGTGAACCACTTAAGGCTAAAACAAGAAGAAAGGTGTGTGGGCACTCATTATCCATTCTGCTTTTTTAATACTTCCAGGAAGAGCCATATGTTATGTTCAAGAAGTCTGACAAACCCTTGTATGGAAATGATCGATTTGAAGGTTATTGCATTGACCTCCTCAGGGAGCTGTCTACTATCCTTGGATTTTCCTATGAGATTAGACTGGTGGAGGATGGAAAATATGGAGCCCAAGAAGATGCCAGTGGACAGTGGAATGGAATGGTTCGTGAACTAATTGATCATGTAAGTTAACTTTTAGAAGCTTTCCAGTATCCATTTAGATTTCAAATCTGTCTGTACAAATTGTAAAACTTTTATGAAAATGCCATTTGAATACTACTGTCTTCAAAATGCAGATGTTTAAAGAAATAGTGCAAGTAAGTTCATATACATTATTCAGTGTGGAATTTGTTTGTTAAATGAAACATCTCTGTTTTGTGTATAGAAGTGTGTGTTTTGGCCGAACTGGTTTAGCTCTTCTGTGACATATGCCTAAGACAAAATATGGAATAAAGTACTCAGAATTTATTTCTGAGAATGATGCAGAGGTTTTTATAATGAAATATATGTCTTTAATAATCAACAGAGGTCAGGTCTCTTCTTCTGATAGTGGATCTGAGATTTTGTCTCAGAGAAATTTCTGTGCATGTAGTGTCCCCCAGGGAACAGTGTTGGGCCCAGTTCTGTTTAATATCTTTATTGATGACCTGAACAAGGGGATTGAATCCATCGTCAGCAAATTTGCAGATGACACCAAGTTGGGGGGGAGTGTCAATCTGCTGGAGGGTAGGAGGGCTCTGCAGAGGCACCTGGACAGGCTGGATAAATGGGCTGAATCCAATGGTATGGTGTTTAACAAGACCAAGTACAGGGTCCTGCACTTTGGTCACAACAACCCCATGCAGAGCTACAGACTGGGGACAGAGAGGCTGGAGAGTGACCAGGCAGAAAGGGACCTGGGGGTTCTAATCAACAGGAAGCTGAACATGAACCAGCAGTGTGTCCAGGTGGCCAAGAAGGCCAATGGCACCCTGACCTGTATCAGGAATAATGGGACCTGTGGGACCAGGGAAGTGATTCTGCCCCTGTACTCGGTACTAGTTAGGCAGCACCTTGAGTCCTGTGTCCAGTTCTGGGCCCCTCAGTTCAGGAAGGACACTGAGGTGCTAGAGAGTGTCCAAAGAAAGGCAACAAAGCTGGTGAAGGTGCTGAAGCACAAGTCCTGTGAGGAGTGGTCAAGGGAGCTGGGGCTGTTTAGCTTGGAGGAGAGGAGGATCGCTCTCTACAGCTACCTGAGGGGAGGTTGGAGCAAGGTGGGGGTCAGTCTCTTCTCCCAGGCAACCAGCAGCAGGACAAGAGGGCACGGTCTTAAGCTCTACCAGGGGAGGTTTAGGTTAGACATTAGAAGGAAAATTCTTTACAGAGAGAGTAATCAGATATTGGAATGGGCTGCCCAGGGAGGTGGTGGAGTTACCATTCCTGGAGGTATTTAAGAAGAGACTGGATGTGGCACTTAGTGCAATAGTCTAGTTGACAGGGTGGTGTTAAGTCATGGGTTGGACTTGATGATCTCAGAGGTCTTTTCCAACCCGGTTGATTCTGTGATGCTGTGATTCTGTAAACACAGACATTATTTGATATTAATCTTTCTTGAAATTTTAACAATAAAATACAAGCAATAAAGCAACAATATCCACATATACTGAAGGAACAAAACAGAGTCAAGACAGATACCATTACAATTACCTGTAAATGAGTAAGAGAGGCATTACTTCAGGTCTTTTAAAGCATACTTTCTTCTTTGGTTGTACCAATTGAATTTAGTCCCTTAGAAATATTTTAATCAATTTAAAAATTATGTATTATCCCTTTCTGCATTTATTTGGGTAAATTACTTGATAGCATTTTCTCTATAGACATGTGGTCAAAGACTGAGATGAAACATATTCTGCACATCACTGTTATTTAAAATAGGAAAAAGAGAAGACTATTTTATAGTTAATTCAAGTGGAACCTCTTAATGATGGCAGAAACTACATGAATAGCTTGAAGAAAATATTCCCTAATCTTGTTTCAATTTGCTTTAAGATTTTAGCAGATGGGAAGAACATGTGCTAATCAAAATATTCACATTTACTAGGAGGGTTGTTCTTCATGCTTTTTTAGTAAATGATAATCTGGTATTGGTGTTGCAACAGATGTTGATTATGCCTGGCTTCACACTTTTAAGAAGAATGCGTAGGAGTATTACAGTTATATTATCTTTAATGTGTGTATGTGTTATACCTAGTATGCATACATAGAAAACAAACATATTTAGCTACACTCTCTGTGCCTCTCTATACACGCACATTTTTATACATGAATAAATGCATAGGCCTGTTTAACTCTTAGACTTGATGGTTGCTAGGTAATACCATCATCTGGAACTAATTTTTCATGATTGAGGTGGATTTTGTGGAAGTATATACTCAGAAGCAAAAATAAATCACATTTTTATATGCCTTTTATTATTCAACCTTAAAACATCCTTAAAAAGAACTGGTATGGCCTCCTAAGCTTTTCACTAAGATAATCTTGAAATAAAATGCATTTGAAGAAGTTGCACACAGTAAGTGTGTGGAACTGTAGTTTTCCTTTCCTTTCCTCTTGATAACACAGAATGAAACAGGTGTTCTCTATTTCCATAGATAATATATAACTAAATGTAGATTAAAATTTATTTTGCCTTTTGAAATGTTTTTTATTTTGGAATCAGAAGAGTTTAGAAACTGTATTAGTACATCATGGAAGATGTAGTACAACTTCATAATCTGGACCAGAAATTTTATGAGTCTCTCTCAATTTCTCAATTGTTAAAATTTTCCTTTATTTTTTTTTGTTTGTTTTTTTTTTTTAATCTATTAGTATTTTGTAATATATTTGAATACATGCAATTTATTTATGCATCAATGCCCTTTATTTGAATGCATGTCATTGGTACATTTTACTAGCAAGCAACACTTCAGACCTCAGAACTGATGCACGAGAATTTAGTGAAAAAAATCCGGACAGACCGTTACCACATTTGATGCTTTCATATGGTTCACACTTCCCATTGCCCGGTAGCTTAACTTTTCAATCTTTCTTTTCCCTTAGAGAATACTTTTAGTGTCAAAAAAGCTCTCTTTTCTATAAAGTGATTTAATAAACTCAATTACCATATTTTTGAGAGGTAAAATGATTCTGTGTTTTTTAATTTGAGCTTCTAATTAAAAGAAATAGACTACAGAATAAAGATAGTTCTTAAAGTGGCCATACATCTATTGAAAAATGTTTTAAGAAATTATTTTCTTTTTATTTGCTTTTTATAATTTATCTCTCCATCAGTTAAGTTCAGAAAGAAAGGTTACTATGCTGTAGCATAGTATGTATTTGCAACGGTAATGAGTTCACATTTATAATCCAAGAATAAAGTGCATAATTTTTATATATTATTTATATAGAAAGGAAGATGTACAATTTATATAAAGATAAAAAGTACTAAATAAAATCTAAAATTTAAATAAGCTGTTTAAATCCATGCTTAGTCACTTTTCGTAAGTGCTTGAGCTCAAAAGTTTAAGTGAAAAAAAGATGATACTATCTGAGCTGAGCTCAGCATATTATGTCAGTCTCAGGCTTGAAATTTTACAGTGTGAACAGAGGCTGAAGTGTTTACATCAGGCTTTGTTTTCAATCTCCTTTCACATAGTTTACTCACATTTCCTCTTTCTTTGACTGTTTTACTCAGAGTTCACATACTCATTCTGATATTGGTCTCCAAACAATATGTAGTTTCCTTTTGAATAAATAATAACTACTGAAAGTGAAAAATTAGTTCATTGGTTCCTTCCCTTTGATGACTGATTGATAATGAATTCTTGTAGGAAAAGACAGAAATCTCTAGAGCTGCAAATGCAAGAGAAATATTCACTAGGACAGCAAATATAGATGAGATTTCTCTATGAATAAATTTTAAATTTAGTTTCTCCAGTTAAGCTGTCTGATTTCTTTGTCACAATTTTACATTCAATATTTTATCCACTTCTCAGGTTAATTCAAGATATGAGTGTTATATATTTGAGGGAGGGGGAGCTAAGTTCCAGGTATTTCCATATTTTATGGATGCCTTCTTCATAAAAAAGTATTCTTTATGCTGACTTTCTGTCTTTGGTTCAAGAACTGTCTGAAAGGAGCGATTTACTGAATTTATTTTGAACTAAATTATAAATGAAAATATATAATTTTGCTTTTTTTCTGTTCAACATTCCACTTTACACAGCCAAAATTACTTAAAAACATTCTTATAGTTGGGTTCTAAAGTAGGAATGAAATTACTGTTTTATACTTTGAAAGAGACATAACTGGAAAGTGATTTGTTATTATATATACAGTATTAAAAATAACCTTTTTTAAGCACTTTGGATGATTCTTCTACAGCACAAAGCTTATGCACTACAAATAGACTTCAAGGCTTGGAGATCTTTTATGATTCATAAATAATCACAGAAAAGGTCCAATTTTTTAGATTATGATTGCTCTTTTACTACATGTGAGGATTAAATTGGAACTTTCTATCTCAGAAGAGTAGGATTTTCAGCTTGGAGGAATTTTACACAGTTGTGCAATTGAAGAGCGTTACTTAATTTGAGTTAACTTTAGACATAGCATTGTTTTTGACCACTGTCTTTTGAATTTTTTTTAAATCAATATCTTACTTTTTAAAAACAGTATTAGTAAAAACAGAATAGCTTCAGATGTTTGTATAATCAGTTTAAATGCATCTGGAGACTTCTTCCTCCAATAAACTGTTTTTTTGTTTTGTTTTTTTAAATTTTATTCTTAATTAAGATCCTTATGTTCTCGAACAGTTATAGTCCAGCTCTTTGTATTATTGTGTAGAACTGAAAAAAATCTTCTAATAAGTGAATATATAGACTTTTGGTGGCTTCTTTTTTGAGCCAGTGAAAGATATGAGTAAGGGAACTTAACTTTCTTCCATACATTTCTCTCCATTTCAAATGTTACATCATCACACTGTTTAGACTCTACAACTTTCCTTCATACTTACAGGAAGTTTTACCATACAGAGACTCATAAGAAAAGACTAAGGAGCACCTCTTCCCTCTTCTCCTTTTAAAGTTCATGCAAAAGTTCTGTCAGTTGAGATTTCCAATATAATGCAGGACAGTTCAGCTGTGCCTCTTTTATTAGTTAAAATC